GTTGGGGAGAATGTAATATCCGTAAGAAAAAAAAGATTATTTTAAGTATTTTTATAAGTGGAGTGACTCTTTAATAAAGAATGAGAAATACATATGACCTATTGATAAATAACCCAACTTTTAACAAAGTTAGCATCTACCACTTTTTTGGCCGACAATTGATCGAAAAAAAAAGGGCTTATTCTCATCTCTTTCTTATACAGAACAGACAATCAAGGGATTTCAAATAAAAAGTAAGAACAAAATCCACAAAAAGAGTTGTTTTTCAAATGAGAGTAAATAATTTCCTTTAATTTTGGAGAAATAATATCAATTGTTAAATCTTAAAGTTTAACTTGTAATCGAGAGACCCTAAAAATTTAGAAAATCTATTATCTCTCTTTAAAATTAGTTTGGTCAAATTATTTAGACTTTAATTAAGATCTAATAAAGTGTTGAGAAAGTTTAGTAATGTGATTTTATTATTGTAAAAATAGGAAACATAAATTTGATGGGATTAGAAAGGAAAATTTTTGTTTTATATAAACCTTAGTGTTTGTAGTGATGGATTAAGAGATAAGATACTGCTATGATTATTATATATTGTTGGAAAGCTTGCTGAATTTACTGTCCAGTGAAATCAATGGGAGTCAATTTCAAGTCTTTTATGAAGAGCAGTTTAATTTTTACTTAAAGGTGTACAGGCTGCCTAATAGCAGTAGCATGGAGGAATTACAAAATTTTTCTTAATTTTTTTATACAAGGAATTATAGATTAAGCCATATATGTTTGGAAAGCTTATTGAGTCTACTTTCCAACAAAACAAACGAAATTGGATTTGGAGTTTCTTATGAATAAATGTGTAATTTTATTAGACTGTAGACATGTTGTTTGACAGTAGCATATAACGTAGATTGCAAAAATTATTATAATTAATCTACAAAGAATTACAAAATGTGCCATAATTGATTAGAAAGCTTATCGAGTCAAGTTTCTAACGCATTAAAAAGATCTTAATTTTGAGTTGAAAATCATGAGTATGACTATTTTAGTGAAAAGAGCTCAGATATTAGTATTAATTAGTTGAGTTAACCCTTATTTAATTTAATTGTTTTTAGTATAATTGGTCTTAAAATGAATTGATTAATTTTTGTTATGTTGAAATTACCTTGAATAGGTTGTTAATTATTTTTTGAAAAAAAATTAAGTGGTGAAATCGAAAAGAGGTAAGTAAAATCTCATATACTTTACTTCTTTTCAAACCTATGTATATAAATATATATATGTTACTAAATGAGTAAATATTTTATTTCATTATTTTTTATATATAAAAAGATGACCAAACATATGATTATTTTTTATTTTTGCTATGTAAATGATGGATCATGTTTATAAATGAAATGAGAAAATGATTTATGTTTATGGAACGATTTTATAATAGCTACGTTTTTACATTCTTGAGAAGTAGGATCATCGACACCAGAACTAGTTCTAAGGCCATGGCTAACGAGTAATAGTAGTTAGTATAGACATGATTATACGACCCTGCTAACGGGTTATAATAGTTAACATAAGGCCTTGATTAGCAAGTTATAATAGTTAGCATTAATCATGATGATGAAATTATCGATACGGCGAATGTCATAGATTATAGCAGTGATCGTAACTAACAGCAAATTAAAAATGAACTAATAATTTATGATAATAATGATTTATGATAATTTTAATAATTGATCCATAATTTGATTTGATTACGATATTTGAATGACAGTATATTTTACAATGATTTATGAATTGATATATTTTGATATTGATTTATGATCTACGAAATGTTTAACATAATGATGATTTTGAAAATATTTTGACATTATGATTTAACAAATGTTTTAAATTATCTATATAATTTGTATAAAAACGATGCTTAATCCGATAAGGTGTGTGAACTTATATTTACTGAATTATGGTTTGCTCCCATTTTATTTTTTCTTTATAGATGAGTAAGTGATAAGCTAGCTTAATTTTGTGAAAAGCTAGAAGATCAAATGAAAAAGATTACTTAATCGTCAAAGATAATGTTAGTCAATAAGATCTTATGAAACAATTTTATATTTTTATATAATTTGTATTTGGATATATAAAAATGTATCATTAGTTAAATTAAATATATAAATTTTACTTGATAAACTATATCAATTTATTGAAGAAAATAAAAAAGATTTTGTATTACTTTGAGATTTTAGTTCAAGGTAATATGATCGTATTACGTCTTAGCATTGGAGCTAGACATATAGGTTGAGAAAAGATATCCCTCTGACTATGAGTATTTCATGGGAATACAAAATAGCATAGGATTATTGAAAATAGAAGTTTAGATTGTTAGTAAATAAAGTCATGTACATTACACAACAACAAGGTGATAATTATTTAGTTATCAGTATCTGGACAACATTAATAGCCTTTTCCTGATCTAAGACTAAGCAACCCCATTTCTGAACTATTTTAGAACCCAGAAGTCAAAACATAGTGTCAAGTAAAGCTCTCTAGTTGCCTACAAGCTACAGTGACTTCGAAAATCAAAGTATAGCTAATTACCTGGAAGAAGAATCCATTGGCTGCTTTAATCCATACAAGACTTGAATCATGAGGTTTCCTAACAGTCTCAAACGTTTCAAATCTACCAGGCGTTTCGGAAACAGCTACTACATGTATTCCTTTTCCAGCTTTTTCTAGTCCCACAAACTGGTCGTTGAAGACCCGAAACTGGAATGAGCTCTCATTCATCCTCCACAGCTGATGAACATATGAAAATTGCTTCTATCAATCAAATCATGTGAAGTTACTCTAAATACATGCCATTGGCAATTTCACTTACTCTAAAGAGCTCCCACTTTGAAACAATTGTCTTATCAGCAGCTATATTTGTTCCTCCACCAGAATTGGCACTAAGATATTTCCCATTTGTTACTGATTTGAACTGAAGTGAGTTTCTATCCTAATGAAACCGCAACCGGAAAAACAAAAAATGAAAAGCAGGATAAAACAGAACAGTGCAGTGAGGGATAATCGCACTTAGCACATACCAAAAACTCATTGTTTGGAATGCCATCAAAAAGAGAAGGTTTAATCCATCCCTCTGTAACCAACCAACCTCCAAGATTAACTGCTTTAATGCCAAAATTAGAAGTCATTCTTCCACAAGAAAGACATATTATACAAGAAGATACGATCCAGAGAAATAGTAGCTTCCTTGTTTGGAAAACTGCCGTTTGGTATGCGCTAGTTTTACTCATTTCAGCGTATATTTATTCCTGAAGTCAAGGGCTCCATTTCTTCCCCAGTTATTGATATACTATAGTTTTCATAGATTTGAAAACTCGGTTGTTGATCATGTGGGAAGGAAATTTTTGTCTTATCCTTCGATTAATTTATTCAGTCTAGGAAAGAAATATTTAAACGAAAGACTACATAATATCTCACATAGGCAAAAGGGAGGAGCAGTAATGATCTGAGGAGGTCAAGTTCTTATGAGCTTGAAAATAGCCATGCTTTGATCAGTTTGGAAGTCATTTTGATAATCCTATGATCTCTTTAGCCTGCTTATTCATTTTCAAAGACCATTTACTCAAGCTCACTGGATTTTGATTCCCCCTTTATCGAGGGGCAGAATCGGATTTTTTAGTTCAACTTGTTCATATTTTTTCTTATCTTCTACATATAAAAACATATTTAGAGCTGTCATTTACCTTCGTGATTAGCCCTTGAGTCTTTCTAGTTCTTATTACAATATTTAACTCCTGGCTCGAACAGAGAAAAAAAAAAAAAAAGGGAGTACAGTGGATCTATTTCCGGCTATTGTTGATCTTGACATCTTGAAATTTGAACATTGTATCAGATTATAAGTAGTTTGAAGCGAATGCAGTACCTTGCATTCAGGATATGTACAACTTATTTAAACTAATTCAAATACAGATAAGATTACAAATATCAGATTTAACTAAGCTTGCACTGAGGCTAACACTATGTTTTAAATTCAAAAGCTGAATTCCCTTCAATACTTTGAACTTTTACTGTAGTGCTTGTTCTTCTTGCCTTCCATCCAACGCATGGGTGGGCTGGTAGTTTTTCTTGTCCTGTATATCCTTGAATGGAAAATAACAAAGTTATCTCTGAAATTAATTTAAAAAATGAAACTCGTACCGGTATGCATTTTTTGTGTGTAACAATTCACCAAGGGGAATTCAACAAAAATTTCGGATGCAATCTACAATAACGAACTCATGTAGGAACCTACGAAGAATGAGTTTCCTAATCTATTGTAATAGAGATAGTGATATTTTCACTTCCAAATTGGCTCTAAGATCAGTGAAGCGATGGAGCAGTTAAGCTGGGAACTGGAATTTGGAAGTAAAGAAATGTTATGTAAATCACTTCACTTGGAAAGTTTTCCAGTTTTCACTCTATCCTCGCCCATGTTTCATAAATCTTTCCCACGAGCTTAAATCATAGTCACTTTCTGGGCTATAATCCAAACTCCGAAGGGAAAAACCATCACTTTCCAGGCCTGTCTATAGGAACTTGAGCACTCGGCCCTTAAACCTTAAACTGGAGAACCAGGATTGACCCCTTAATGTGTATGAACACAAGTGGACTGGCTCACGAGCGTGATTGGTGGCGGTGAATAATGAAGGCAGAAATGCTCCTATGAAAATAAAAATTTCGAAAATAATAATATCCCCAACTTTGCTTGCTTTGGCAACCTTCTCAAGCACCCCATGTGACCACCGACAATTCACAATTGCCAGCTGCAATCAATCAGGACCAGTGTCACATCCTCTACTCTCTCGCTCTCTACTGTCCCCTCCACTTCACCAATAAAACCTCGCCACATCACCACCCTAACTCCATTCATTCACCGAAACACCCTTACCTTTCTCCAATATTACAAAATCAACACCACGGCTTTGGCGTGGCATCCAAAAACGGCAACTTTTATCATCTTGTCTACCACACATGAAAACACTCTCTTAACGCGGCTAGCCAGTTTTCATTTTTTTTTTTTTTCAATTTGCACTTTTGTTTAGTTTCCTTGTATCACTGCACTTTATCATCGCCCCCTTTACTCTTTTTATTTGTTGCTAAGAATTTGATCTCCAAACCCTCTTTCCATTTCTTCATCACATTTCAAGAAAAAAAACCCAGGAAAAAAAAAAGCAGAAAGTATGGCTAAAATATTGTTGCTCATTGCACTATGTGTGCTTCCAGCTCTAGTTAGTGCTACACGGATGGTGAATAACCCATTGGTGGTGCAAGGACACGTGTACTGTGATCGTTGCCGTGCTGGTTTTGAAACCTCTAAGACTAGAAATATGGCTGGTACTTTCCATTTCTGTCATTCTTCTATGCTTTCTATGTTTTCTATGTTTTTTTTTGTGTGTTATGTTGTGACATTGTTAGATCTGGTTTCTTGGTTTGTGAACTGTAGATCTGTGGAGTAGTTTCATGTTTTGATGTTACATGAGTGGTAGACAGTGAGGTTTTGTATGAATCATAAAATAACGGAAACAACCATGACATGTTGAACTGGTCGTCAAATAGTCTTTTTCACTGGTGAAAACCACAAAGTTCAAATCTTGAAAAAATGTCAAATGATAATTAGCCTAACAATATGAAAACTATAGTTTTTTCTAAAATTTTAACGACTGACAGATCAATCTTTGGTTACCTCTATGAGATTCAAAGGTGTAAGCTTTAACAAAAATAAGGTAAAGCTTTATGGTTCCAAAAATGACAGCTTTCCTCATAGTTTTATGAACCCAAAAATGCTGGTTCATGGAGATGGAACATGGTATTTTCTGATATCTGACTTAACTCCTTTAGCTTTTGGTATTCTGGGAATTAAATTTAGTTTCCACAAGATTTGAGTGTAAGTTTTTGCCTGTTGGGGTGATTAATGGTACAATTTGTTGTATTTGGTCCTGAAATTTGGTTTTTGTAGGTGCCAAGGTTAAGGTGGAATGCTCGGACAGGAAGACTGGCCAAGTTGTGTACAAGAGGGAGGGATACACAGATTCAACTGGACAATACAAAATTGTTGTGTCCGAGGATCACTTGGATCAGATCTGTGATGCTGTTCTTTTGAAGAGCTCCCAGCCTGAGTGTGCCAAAATGGCCCCTGGTCGTGAACGTGCCCGTGTGATCTTGACTAACTACAATGGTATTGCATCCAACAACCGTTATGCCAATGCCTTGATCTTCATGGCTGATGAGCCTGATGCTGGCTGTGCGGAGATTATGAAGTTGTACCAGGAGGAAGATGAATAGAGTGTGGTTTGGAGTTCTGTACGAGTCTAATTGACTAATCGGCATATGAATATGAAATTGTCTGCTATTTGTGTGAATTGTTTCGATGTTTTTCTGTTTGGAGGACCTTTAACTTATGTTCTTTGAATTCTATTACATTTATATATAAGTATGCTACGGCTTCTGTCTCAGAAGTATTTGTAGTTGCTGTTTTTTTTTTTTTTCCTTGAATGATGAATCTACCTTTAAATTATATCCTTCTCTGCCAACTCGTACGACACATCCTTTAAATCTCGTATTCCATTTGTGAGATACCTAATTATAACTTGAGTGAAAAACAGAGAAGCCATTGGCTGTTTATCAAGTTCTGTTCTTGAGGTTGAGTCCCAATGCTTTGCTGATTCCTGGGTTTGGTTTCTTGATGTTGAGTCCTAAGGGCAGCTGATATTAGCGCATGGCTCTAACCTTGAAGATGTGCAAATTATGGGGTTGCTTGAGTCGACCAGTTGTAGAAGCTACACGCGAACCGCTACCTGAACCTACCCCAGACGAACCTATTGACAGCTCCAATGGTGCCAGGTAATATTTAAGTCTCTTCTCGACGGTGGCTTAAAGAGCTAGGATCAAATCTAGCTAAACGGAGTCCTTCACTAACATGGAAAAGAATAAATAATTTGGAGGTCAAAATATAATATTACTCTTCAACTCATCAATGGATTGTACTAGCATGGAAACAGAAGATGGCCAACTATGGTTAGAGTATCGATGCCGATCTATATCTTTTTCTCTTCTGTTGAAAATGCTCACTCGCTTCTAAGCATAGGTTTGGCATTCAAATATTATAAAAAATTTGTTTGAGTTTACTTAAATGTTATTTCATGATAAGAAAAGTTACAAAAGAAAAATTTTAAGAGAAAAAAATTTATCTTGATAAATAAATTTGTATATTAATAAATAGATAGAGTTTTTATAAAATTAGATATGAAAAAAATATAAAAGAGTTGTAAGATTTTATTTGGTGAATACATCATAGGATTATTGGAGATTAATGTCTTTGTAAGTGTGTATAATTAAATATTTGTGAGTGAATTAAAGGAAATTAAAAAGGTATACATAAGAATAATGATTATTTTATTTAGGTGAATTAAAGAAGATTGAGATAATCCATATAGGTATAGATGCATATAAATATGTATTTATTTAAATTTGAGTAGATTAAGAGGGTTTAAAGGTATTAATTATTGAGTATTAATTGATATAAATTGTATGTTTGTAATTTTTTATAATTAATAAATATTTTTTTATTCGTGAATATAGATTAGTTAAATCAAATTACGTTAAATTATTATTTTTTATATAATTAATTGATGGTTTAATTTCGCTTCTACTAACTTAGATTGTTTAATTGATTAGAGCAATTTTTCTCTATAAAAGAATGTCCATGAGAGAAAGAAAATTGGACGTATACAATGACTAATCTAAACCATGAATATAGGAGGAAAGAAATCCATACTAAGTAGGAAACTACTGGATCCCAAAGTTTTCCCTTCCGTCGTAGAAAAGAGAAATGACTTCAAGTCCATGCATCTTTCCAAAGTGCAATATCTTTGCCTTTTAAGGAGTCAATCTTTTTGCAAATGAAATTTTAAAAATTTCCATTTCCATTAGTTTTTGCACTAGGTTGCTCTGTCTTGCCTTTGAACCGCGCTTAATGTTAAGAAGATCCAATCATTTATATCGTGCATCTACCCAAATAATAAAATTTATTTTTTAAATATTATTTAAAATATCATTATATAATTATATATAATTAAAAATTAAAAAATTATAAAAATTATTTTTTAAATTTTCGTAATGACCCGATGAATTTTTTAAACTGATTTTCCAAATAAAACACCCTAAAAATTTCTCAAAACTTACAATTTTTTTGCCTTCCCTATTCTGCACAATACACGTCCATTTTCAAGCATAGATGTAATTTTTTTTAGTTTCACCTTGGTATTTATTTTCTTTAGCAAAACAAACCCTGAGCTATATTTATTGTATCTTTTATCGTGCATATATAGCGTATTGAAAAAAATCAACGGTGATACATAGCCTAAATGCAATCATAGATAAAGTAAACTAAGAATTTTTTATAAAAGAATCTTATCTTGACAACCAAAAACTTATTTGATTCAAAGAATTTTTATAAATTAATTTAGATTTAATTTAAATGCATGAAAAGAAGAATTCATTCAATCATAAAAAAAACACTCATAAATCAAAACGCGATGGCGAATCTTCTTCACCGTAAATAGGGCCATTAAAGTGGAACATACAGAACAATGCCTAAGCATAAAGTATATTCTTTCAGACGCCAGCAAGAATAATTAGACCTTACTTGAAGTTTTGCCGCAACCCAAAAAAAAAAAAAAAAGTCCCCTTTTTTTTAGCCTTAAAACAGGTTGTCAAGAAATCAATTTTGGAAGGCAGAGTTTGGTTGGTGTGGTTTTTGGTCCGAAAAAACTTTGCATGACACCTAAGCACGTGTAAGATCAAACCCAACTACAGGAGAATGGCAATGGAGTTAGGTGGTTTTAGCTTGAAGCGTTGAAGGGTTGCTTTATTTGTTGGAGACTTGGGGTTAGAGAGGGTTTGGTTTGGTCCTTACAATCCCATGAAGGGTTGCTATCAACATCTTTCTTAAGAGTCTGAAAATTTAGGTTCAGTTACAATAAGTAAAGGTCATATCTATTTTTTTTTTAATAATAGTGATATCTATTAATAGAATATAAAATTTTAATTTTAATAATTAAAGTTTAATCTTTGATAATTTTAATTTTAAAAAAATTTTAATTTTTATTTTTTAAATAAAGAGGTTGCATTAATAATTCAACAACATATATAGCCATTTTTAATTGGTCATAGAATCATTGATTTTATTCATGTAGTTATTGAGTCACAATGGATATGAATCATGATCCATATATTAAATTAGCTGCAACTTGATTTAAATAAAAACATTTGATACTTTCAAATCTTAAAATTCAATTCCCAAACTAAACAAATTGTATAAAAAGAAAAAACTCCACGAATTCATAACTATATTATGAAATTATTTTAAGGTTGAATTATAATGAGCTGCTAATGTATTTTGAATCAAATTTGTACATAAATAAATAATTCAAGAATTTAGGAAATCAATAACTAGTCCAAAGATAATCTTCTTAAAAGATTATTAATTTAAAAAAAAAAATTTTATAATGATAACTTTGACATAGCTGTAAACAAAAAAAAAAGATAAAATTAAAAATTTATATTTAATATGTTATTATTGTATAAATTTTATAAATAATTAATCAATTATATAATATCATTTTATTAATTAACAAACATAAATTTTTACAAATTTTTAAAATAAATACATAAAAATTTAATTTTTTTAAAGTTTTTAATTAATAATATATAAATTTATACGCAATGCATCATTTACAAACTTTAAAAATAATTTGTATACCCCGAAGTAAAATTAAAACAAAAAAATTGCCTGCCTGAGAACCAAAATAAAATACTGAAAACACCCAAGAAATTTGTGTCTGATACGAAAAAGGGTTCTTGTCATTAAGCTGTTCCAAGCGTGAGTGAATCACATCAAGAAAAAAAAACAGAACAGCAACGACAACAACATCAACGATTGTTTCTATATAAACTGAGAGTGTATGCATTTTTACGTTATACTCAAACAACTCAGAGTGTACCTTTTTCAACCTTTGTTTTTGTCTCTTGAAATTGTCATGTAAAAGTTTTGAATTCTCTAATAACCTCTGCTTCCTCTCCTTCTCCGTCGACTCTTATTTTTTCTTCCTTGTATTAATAATATAAACTCAGCCCATATTCGCATATTTCTTTGCCTCGGTTTCTTCGCTGTTGGCCTATATAAACTCAAGGTCAGTTTTTTCGTGTACCCAACAAGGCGAACAACCACTTTTCTCTTAGCATTTCGTTTTTGGTTTCTGGGTTGTTGATTTTAAGGTCTGGTTTCATTTTGTTCGTCATTTTTGTCCCCTTTTTTGGATTGATGTTGTCCTGAAACTTCATTGTTTATTTGCTTTATGGAAGAGAAGCCCATGTGGGTAATGTTAAATTTGAGTCTTTAATTGGGGAAACCTTTTGATTCTTGGATCTGTCAGATTATTTTTCAATATAGGGTGTTTGATAATTAATGCTTTTATGATCAACTTCCCGGCTGCCAAAAAACTTGTCCTTTTTTCTTTTTTTTTTTCTCTCAAAGAAATAACTTTCCTAGTGTTCACTGATGGGGTAGTTATCCTAGAGAGGTAGGTTATGTTTCCTCAGGTTGTTGCCTCTCTTTTAATGTTGTTGAAGGTTCTTAATCCGCCTTAAGTCTAATTTAACTATTGATTTAGAATGAGAAAAAACCTTTAGTGGCATAATCATAATTGACAGTTATTTGCTCTAGCTTTCTTTTCCCTTAGTGCAATGGAAGGACAAATGCATTATTCTTGAGCAAAAAATTACTTTGTCTATAAAGAAGACTTTCTCCTGTATAGTTGTACTTCATTTTGTCAAGTTATAGAAGGTGTTCTTAGATTAGTACTTGCTTATCTTGAATTTTCAGAATGGCCAATGCTATGTTGCACCAAACAGTTGGAACTCTTCAGCTTCTCAGCAATTCTGGAACTCATTGGGAAGTTGGGAATAATTCAGTAAGGTTGTTTCCCAAAAGTTTTAAGTTGGAAGTTGGGATCTCAAAGAGAGGAACTTATAGTTCTGGAGAGAGGAAATTCAGTGTTATTCAAGCGTCAGCTTCTCAAACCTCTGTTTATAATCCTGTTTTATCTACCTCTGATAATGGCACCCACGAATCTCGCAAGAAATCAAGTAAGGCATATCATCTTAGACATAGTTTCATATTTAATTAGTGAATTTTAGACCAATGCACCATTTTTCTTCTTGATTATAAGCTCTATCAAACTGCACTCTATCTAGCCTTTATTAACTAGTTGTTTTAAGTAGCACAAATCTTAATTTTTAGAAATTTAAATGGCAGATTGCAACAGCACATTGATTCCAACTGATGCAAGTGATTTGGTATTTCCTCATAACTTGGGGAACAAAGTTGGATTCAGCTTGTGAAATATTCTGATTCCTTTTGATGATATTAATTGCAGATGAAGCAGCTTTGATACTGGTTCGCCACGGTGAATCATTGTGGAATGAGAAGAACCTGTTTACGGGTTGTGTTGATGTGCCATTAACCAAGAAGGGAGTGGAAGAGGCAATTGAAGCTGGCAAGAGAATCAGCAACATACCTGTCGACATGATATATACATCAGCGCTAATTCGTGCACAGATGACTGCTATGCTAGCCATGACTCAGCACCGCCGCAAGAAGGTAACTTGAGGAAAAATAATATTTTATGGTAACTAAAGTTTAGGGTGCTAGTGACTGCTTGGTGATACTGAGCACCTCATACTGTCATCATTGGTCACTAGTAAATCATTTATGTGGGTAAATGGGTTTGAAGTTTTTTAAAACCCCCTTTTTTTTGTTAAAAGTCCAAGAGTGGTAATTTTATCATTCTTTAGTTTATTAGACTGATAGATTGACATTTTGGCAGGTGCCAATTATCATGCATAATGAGAGTGAGCAAGCAAAGGCATGGAGTCAAATATACAGTGAAGAAACCATGAAGCAATCAATTCCTGTTATAGCAGCTTGGCAATTGAATGAAAGAATGTAGTCAAATTTTCCTTTTCTCTTTATCAACAAGAATGAAATCATATTGCTCATGCTTTTCTGATATGCTGCTTACTGGCTGTCTCAATTTTTCTCAATCCTCTTTCATGAATGATTCGTGGACTATCCTTTCTATGCAGGTATGGAGAATTACAAGGTCTCAATAAACAGGAAACTGCAGATAGATTTGGGAAGGAAAAAGTTCATGAGTGGCGTAGAAGTTATGATATACCTCCACCCAATGGCGAGAGTTTGGAAATGTGTGCTCAAAGAGCTGTTGCTTATTTTAAAGATAATGTAACTTCTATATCTGATATATAATTTTTTTGATATGTTATTATTTAGTCAGTCTGTTAGGCCTTAGATAACTCTAGAGATTCAACTTCTTTAATACAATTTGTTTGGAACCTCACAACGAGTATACTGTTTGCAGATTGAACCCCAACTTCTATCTGGAAAGAATGTCATGATTGCTGCCCATGGGAATTCACTAAGGTCCATTATTATGTATCTTGACAAATTAACCTCCCAGGAGGTATGGACCCTTTCTTTGTTCCATTCAGGATGTTTTTTATTTTCCTGGTATTTCTTGTTTTAACATTAAGGCTAATATTTGTTCTGTATTCTTTATGAGACAGGTTATCAGTTTAGAACTATCAACTGGGATGCCTATGCTTTACATTTTTAAAGAGGGGAAGTTCATTAGGAGGGGAAGTCCTGTAGCACCAACAGAAGCTGGAGTCTATGCTTATACTAGGGTATGCAACTTCCTCTCAGCTTATTCTTGATCTGTGTATGCAACTTCCTCTCAGCATTATTCTTGATCTGTTATGGACCCTTGTGTAGTCCCATTTACTTTACTGCTTTAATAGACATGCTTTTGCTTCAATTCAAAGTTATAATCTGGCCAAAAAAATAAAAATTATAATGTAATTGGAATAGAAAGACAGAGTATGTATCATTTCATTACTTTTTCAGAACGAAAGGAAATAACAAAGACTTGGAAATCATAAGTGTTTGGGCTTTTGGTATATTTCAAATGTCCATGCTGTAAAGTTTTGAAGTATAAGGAATAGCCTTGGAGCTTCTGTGCGGAAAGGAAGGTGTTGCCTGTATCAATATCCTGATATGGGGATCACCTTATATAAATTATATAACAGCTTAGTTCTTTTGAAAAATATTTTAGAAGCTCAAACTGGTCTAACTGGTGATACAAGATAAAATGCATCCATCATATGATATGTTTTCGGTAATTGTCACTTCTGTTGTCTTTTAGGGAAAAACTTTTTGGTTCATATTATTATAGATAAGAATCATGATTCCTTCCACTTCTTAACATGTATTGAATACTCTTTTGCTTGAAACCTAGTAGTCTTATGATGCTGAAGTAAAATTCTACTTGTTTCTTGAAGCGGCTGACTGAAACATAATCATTCTTGGAAAAAACCTGGATGGTATAAAGGAGCTTTTCTGGTTGAATTCTTTGGTTTGACAATAATCTGAAAATTATGCTTTTTATAGTCCGTCTTACCCTTGGTACCTTAGTTCTCAACCCCAAAAGGAAAAAACGAGAAAACTTGCATTAGACTTCTATATCCTCTTGTTTTCAGGGACTTATTCTGAGTTTTTTTTCTGGAATTATTAAAAGCTTAATCGAGAAGACTAATGCTTCTATCGATTTATTTTTGCAGAGGCTGGCTCAATACAGGCAGAAATTAGATGAGATGTTGCATTGACATGTCCTTTAAGTATAGGTAACATCAAATTCTGGCTTCCATCGTGTATTAGCCCCCTTTCCAACTCTTCAAATAATTGTTCCCCCTTTTTTTCTTTTTTTTCTCTGTTTTCTAGGGGCTTTTCTTGCATTACCATAGATGTCTATGATTGAATTGGTCATAACGTTGGACCCATAGCCCAAAAGGCTAGCTGCTGGTCCCAGTTGATTTTTCGTATGGGTGCGCCAACCTACTAGTTGCAAGTCCCTGCCTACGTCCTTATAATTCTGGTTAGGTTTGTCTGTGTCAAAGATTGTGAACATTCAAACCCTGTAACAGATATGCAGCAATAGGAATTTTTTTTTATCCAGGTTTTACTGTGCTTTTTAAATGATTTCGGTCATATGTCCTTGTATTGAGAAAATATGGACTGAAATTTTTCGTTTTAATAGAATTTGTTTGGGGTGGTGCCATTTGTAACAAGTTTATCAGTCCCTTTCTCTCTTTCTATCTCTCTCTGGATAGACGTAAAGTAAGATAGCATTATTCCAAATGCCAAGGAAACCTCGAAGAAAATTTGCATGCTTAACCCATTACACTAAGAGTGGATAGGAGTTTCTTTTGATCGGTGAACGAAGCTCATTTCGGGATGAAATGCCAACAATTTCCGTTTAAAATCAGTGTCATTTAGGTATGAGATGCCCACCTAAGCCCTTCAAAAAGGGAGCTCTTAACATCCGTGGCCCTGCCTGTGTAAGGCCAATGCCCCTTCGGAGAGTGAAGAAACAAAGGGGAAGAAAGGGCCATTTGTCGAAGCCCCGTCTCCCATGTGAAGGTGAAACGGCGGAAACAGACAATCTCAATTCAATTTTCTTGTCACAGACCATATCACTGTTCATTTTAGAGCTAATAATAATAATAACAATAATTTACAACAAGATCATTTGAAATAGTTGATTATTTTAAATCTAGATATTATACTTTTCACTGATGTTATATTCTACTAAATAATTCCAGATTTCTAGCTTTATTGAAAATCAAGTGCATTATTGCATCCACATTTGAAGTACAACTTTTATCAAATGTCTAAACATTAAGTTCTTAGCCTATGTTGCAAAAACTTTTCGGCTAAATCAGTTAATGAAAATCAACTGAGTAAACTTGAAAAGGACAAAAAAAGCTCTTATTGAAGGAAGAAATCCATTCAACAGAAGTTTAAAACGTCAATGATACAAATTAAGAAGAGCTCTGCTTGACTTATATTTCGAACTAAAATAGTGAAACAGTCAGATCATCATATACCTTATTACCTCAACCAAGACAGGCTCAAGCTTCGAGTATCTGTATCTCTAATGAATTTCCCTGGAGCTATTTTCACCGCCCTCAGTAACCAATACTCTTTTATTGGGAGGGAGGCCCTCTGAATCTGAAACATGATTTGGGGAACTGCCTACCTTGCCATTGTCAGAAGCATCAGAATCAGAGCTTAGATTGATAGAATTCAAATCAATGGGAGATGTTGGCACGGGTTGTGGTGGTGGAGATGCTGATTGAGGATTTACCCTTTTCCAGAATTCGGGTATCCTCTTGTCATCTTCCCTCATCCTTTCGGCATACTTGACGATGTTGAAACCTGAATCATCATTTCCACCAAATGCAGACTCCAGCTTCTCTATATCAAAAAGATCTTCCATTATTTTCTTGGTATTGAGATCATCAGAGTAAACAAATTTTACTTTGTTTCGAGTCCTGGGCTCTAGAAATGGTTTGACCACCTGCAAAGGAACAAACTCCCAAATATTAAATCAACCATGCATATAAAACATAGACCAACAGCATAAGATGGCCACACAATAACTAAACTACAAAACAAAATAAAAAATGGCATTGAACACCATCCAAGGATATCTTGAGGCAAGACATAATCTGTAAAGGAAGGGGAAGGACATTGCAGTGACAACGGATTCAAAGACCAAAAAAAGGGATTTGCATAGAGCTGCCCAAAAAAAAGCCTGCATAGAGCTGGATCTAAATGTTGGAATGAATTTTACATTGCAGATTTATTTTGACATGAAAAACAATTAAATATCGAAAAACAACCAAAAGCAAACTAGCATTGGCTGGAAACCAAAAGCAAACATGTAACTTAAAGAATCATAAAAGATGAAAGCTACTTTAATCTGGATCTCTGCAAAATCTCTGACTTGGAACCATGTATCCAAAAATGCTATATTAAGATGCTAGCAATTGCATATGCTTAAATATAAATCTCTGTGCAATGTGCATAAATCTGACAAACATACTAAGAGCCTCATTGATATAACTTATGTTATAGAAAAAGAGGCAAAGACATCAAAATGGGTTACCGTCCAGAATGGTTCGAAGAACTTGGGTGCGTTATATAATATTGCCATGCCCAGTCGCTCTGGATAATGGTCTTGTAACACATGTGCTGTTTCCCGTGTCAACTTCACTGATATATGTGACATGTTGAAGCCATTGAAATCGATCAACCAGACCATCTGTTCCTGGTCTGATGGAAGATTTAAAATTGCATTCTCCATGCAATAAACCAAATACCTAATCTGTCCTTTTGTTGATTTTGAGTTCTGCAGTCAAAACAATCTTAATTTAAGTTGTCCTGGCTAACCAATGTGCAGCTGAGTACTATGCTTTAGAAATTTGAATCTTCATGGCTGATATGGCCCCAAGAATATGGAAAAAAAAATAAAAGATTTTTTTCTTTTTTTTTTCTTTTCACTCCTAGTTTCTTCATTGTCAAATACCAACTTACTAATCCATAAGACAATCAAACATGTCATCCGCCTAAAGTTGGCAAATGACACTGGGACAGTGAGCTTTTGTTTTACTTACTAATGGCTTAAGAGGTAGTAGAAAATCCTATTGTTGGGGCAAAGATAGGACACCACCATGACCAAAAATCTTTAGCTGTTAGATTGGGATATATCTTATATATGTCTTTTGTTTCTTTTTTTCTCTGATGTAGGATAATTTTCAAACATGAACTCTAACACCTTTCATTCAAAATTGTTTCAACTTTTCTGTAGTACCAGATTTACAAATTGCAAGGATATAGAGGGAAGGATGTCATACTGAACCTGGCAACCAGGTCTCATGACAAGAACTGTTCTCCCATGCTTGTCTATATAATTTGATCTGTAGATCTTCCCTGTCTCTGCTTCATGAGCAACCTCTTCCTGCATCGGACAAAAAGAATAACGTTGTAAAAACAATATATGAAAAAAGAAAAAAGCTTGACCTAAACCAGCTATTTTTTCACTCAAAAAGGACAAAGCCTGACCTGCCAAGTGAACAGAGTTCAGCCCTAATAAGTAGATTGGACTTTGGTTTATTCTCTAGGGGTTAAATCCAGAGAACTTAAGACTAAACCATTCTGAGTGCATGAAAACAAATACAAAAAAAGGCAACCACTAAAAACGATCATCAGGCCACTGATTGTAAAATCCTAGCTAGCACTTTCAAACTTAAAAATAAAATTGAAAACCCGTTACAAGCATACTCCAAAGACCAAATCCTGGATGCATTTGATGCTTCCTGTTCGAAACTACAGATAATTCATAGGAGGATGAATTGTAGCATACCCAGCGAATCTCTTCTGGTTTGTATTCTGCTCTCCATTTTAAGGTTTCTTTCAGCATTTTAGTTGCCTTCTTGACATTCCAGTTTCGTGCCCTTAAATATCTAGCTATGGCTGAATCAGAACAATAAATGGCCAACTTCTCAGGCAATGGCTCTATCAACCTTCTTATTTCACTAATCTGCAAATTTCAACAGGTTTGAAACCTTTACTCTCCACAACATCTATGCTAGGCCAAAATGATAACCTATGTGAAACTAGGGATAGGGGATCAAATAAACAAAAGATACCTTTGCCAGCTGCTCTTCACATGTTAGAGACTTCTCACAGCCATTTGAAGAAGATTTCTTTAAACCCGCACTCATAGTTTCATAGATGTCTTCCTGTATGTTAAAAGAGTTAAATGTTTCAGAATTGTAGAATCATCAATCTCAGTGTCACGACATCTGCATTTTTTGTTTGAAGTGCAAACTTGTATAAGATAAAGCAAAACCATTGTCTTATTTTCAAGAAAAAAATGAGAAATTGCATAAGATCACGGGGGATGCAGATGTGTCAAATGACTTTCTTCTCCCACTAAAGCTGAATAAAATATTTTATATCGCACCTTTTTTGTATAAAAATGAAATTTAAATCCAAAATCATCAAATATACTGAGGCCTTAGGATATATTTGTATATTCATATTGTCTGTCAATCCTGCCTTAACTATTCACAACAACAGTTAGTATCAGACTGCTCTTTATTACAGCTTTTCTGTTTCAGTTTCTAATTATTTTTTGTTTTCCCTTTACATCCTTTAAAAAGACCATCTCTGTCGGAGTGTGAAATAGCTGACAGATTGCAGTCCTCTTGCCAGAGATAGACAAATGTAACCATTTTTAGTTTCTTTTCTTCCTTTCTTTCCCACAATTAAATGGAGGAATTGTTCTGCAAGTTCCCTTTACGGATCATGGTAATTTCTACAGATCATCCATCATAGGAAACAAGATATTGAAATTAGTGAATGATCAGTTTGATCAACAAAGTGACTTTAAGCACACTTTACTTCAAATTGGACTGCAAGTATGTAAATCCAGATTGCAAACCCAAATAAATTGAACCCTTTTCTAAGCTAATTATCTTTTATAGTAAAGACATACCCTGATATTACTATGGATTTCGATCCACATTAACATAGCTTGGCTTACGTAAACACCAACTCCTTTTTGTTTCGTTGGTCCAACAATACAACCAATTAAAGAAAAAAATAATTAATGTGGCATAGAAGTCTGCATCTGGGATTGAAAAATTCAACCAAAATATTTCAAACCAAACATAGGCATAGGGTTCAAGTCACATTAATTTCACTTGATAACAGATTTAACCCATAGATTAAGTTTTTAGATACTCCAAAAAAAAAAAAAAAAAACAGTCCAACCAGCACTAAATATAAATAAAAAAGAACATATCTGCAGTTCAAAGTAAGCAAGATGTCAAAATCCAAAGACCAAAAGTAAGTTGTATTTATGGTAAAATAGAGCAACAGACCTGAATGAATCAAGGAATAATGGAATAAGGAATGGATCTCAAAAGGCAAATGAAGAGAGACAACTTCGGGGTGGAAACTCAAGAGTATAAAAAACCATTGAGAAAGGGTCAACCCAGAAAAGGATATCCCTTAAAAATAGGAATGCTGAGGTTGGTTGATTGCTTGGATTGTTTTGATGGATTATTAGTTGGATCCACTCATATGCGACCAATTCAAGAAACCGCGAAATTTGGGCGCCATCTTTTTCCCTCCCCCTCGTGTTTTTAATTTAATCCATAGTTAGGTGCTTTGCTCTAACTTCATTCTTTTTGGTGCATTTGTTCCAACTTTTCTACAATGTTAGTCCAAATGAGTAAAATTTTGATAATTTTTATGGTTTGGCTGGGACCATTTTCTATGTGTTTACATTTTGGTGACTGGTAAATGTCAGAATTAACCTAATCAGAGGCCAAGAAAAATGACTAGTTAGCAACAAAAATATACGTGAGGGTAAAAGAGACCTTTTCAAGCAGGAAAATCTTTGGGAAACCAGACAAAGCTTAAGGCTATGATCATAGATGTTATCAGAAAAAAAAATAGGATTATAATAATTATATGGTTGCGCTTTGAAGATTTTCATATCCCATCAGATCCCTGTTTTCATCTATAGTTTAGCTTTGAGTTCCGGTATTCCCTTCTCTTATTCGGCAAGTTTATTCAGAAGCAGAGTACTTAAATTAAAATCTCTGGTGATTTTTTCTTTTTTTTTTTTTTTGTTCTGACGGCCAAGCTTAGAACATTGATATATTTTCGTCGCACCTACCAACTTTTCAATCCTGTCGGTAAGGAGAACAAGGCACGTGCCTGAAGAGTAAAAGGGCAAATAAAGTCCAACCAGGAACAAGTTGAGTTTTTCCTAAGTTAGTGGTTTAGTTCAAACTTTTAAAATGATGATAAATAATTAATTCGATCAATTAAGATTATTTTTTTGATAAAAAAATTTTAAATTCAAATTTTATCAATAATTATTTATTAAAATTATTTTAAATACATAATTTATAATCATTTATTTTAAATTATTAAATATGATACATTTTATTTAATATGAAAAATTAAATAATTTATCGAATTTTTCTTTAAAATATATATATATGATAAATTGAAGCGTGTCATTTGTTCATTACTATATAAATTCTAGTAGATTCTTTTCCTCATTACCTCACCAGGTGCGTCAACCTAGAGAACATTTACATCATCCCAGGGGGCAATCGAGGGTTAATAGCATCATCATTTTAATTTTGTTCCATTCTTTATCGTTTTCACTTCCCAAAAAGTTGAGAAAGAAGAGAGAGAAAAATACAGAGGAGACGAGTCATGAGAAAGAATTCTATGACTCCACAACCGATCCTGAGGGTGTATGTGCAAAGTCGGTTAACGTCACAATTGCGGACATACCCCTATATTATGAAACTTGTACAAATTCTCCACTCTTCTTCCTTCTCTACACAGAATTTTGGAGGAATGTCATGCTTCTACCCAGTCCTTTGCCTTAGACAACAACAAAGAAATAAAGAAAGAAAAAGAACATAAGAAAGAATTTTCAGCTAACCAGCCCGTATCTTGCAGACCTCAAAATAAGTCATCTTAGTGCATCTGCGTGTTCAAAGAATGTACGCGGCAGCTTTCAACCGTGTTCATTCTACATTACATCCAGTAGAGCAGACCCCTTCTTTGCTAACTGCTCGTCATCCTCGTGATTTTGCAAGCATTTGTAAATTTAATGAATGTACAAAGCAGAGCAATTTAAATGAACACATTCACGAATTGAGGAGTCAGCCGCATATAGTGGAGAAAGATACGGAGTCAAAGGACAGATAAACTGGGATGACTGTCCGACTGTATCAATCAAAGACTTCATCCAAGAAATGGCAGATGGGGACAATTTGCTCTCAGTTATCAAGCAAAAAGATCTTGGTTGGACAGCGCAATCCTTGATGCCAGCATTCAATTCCTGGATTCCACATCATTAATTATATGTAAAACAGTCATAATGATCAAGAATGAAATTTTAGATTAAAAGTGATTTTGTCCAAAACTTTAGCCTGATGATTTATTTCTTACCTTTGAAGCCTGTAAGCTGGTGGGTGGATCTAGGATATGATTTCATACATCCTACCCCAAAATCATCCACCTCCTCGCAAGAAATCTCAGGAACCAATTTCGCACATAGGTTTTTTAACAAGTACCCAAACCTTGAGCAAAAGTTCATTGGTGCCCCTTGCAAATCCTCTCGTCTTGTTCATCTTAGGGCAATTATCAGACACAAGTATGGCACCAACTTGTCACAAATTCTGTATAGCTGAACAGATTAACCTCAAGGGCTAATGCACTCAATCCTTAAGGAGCCAAGAGCTCTTAACAAACTTCAATCACAAGGATTGGAAATAAAGTTATGCTCCAAGGCTCTTCACTGGGCACAAACAATTTGTAGACAAACAATCAAAGGCTAGGGATCTCTTTTCCCCACAGCACCAGCAGAACTTTGCTTCTTCTGTATACCATATTGCCAGGCATCTCTAGATTTATCACCCGACTGATCAAAATCATCCAAGGAAGTCTCCATTGGTGGCTTAAATGGCCGATAATTCCCATTCCTAGAAATTACTGATGTCCCTGGCTTGTCTTCATCTTCTGATGGTGTTCCTGACCTGGAGTCCATGTGCATATCTAATGATCTGTGTCTTGGTCCAGCAGACCTTAAACCCCTCATATTGGAAGCCTTACCCTGTGACGGAGAATAACCAAGTCCCCTTGGCCCTGCAAAATCTTTGGAGAGTAAGTCTTTTGGGAAGTCCTTGGGGAGAGAATCCATGTCCATGTAACAATTCCTAGCTTTGGCATCAGCAATTAACGCTGCCCAGTCATCAGATTGCACCAGAGCATTGGCGTTGCCCATAACCTGTTCAAACATCAATGTCAATTCCAGAAAATAAATAACATCAAGCAGTTAAGAGGATGATCTGAGCTATGATGAAAAAGCATGGAAGATTACAAGAAAGAACTCATACCCACAAAGCCCTTCTAGCACGAGTAAGAGCAACATTCATTCGACGAATGTCAGCAACAAAGCCCACACCATGACTTGAGGCACGGACACAAGACATGATAATAACATCACGTTCCTGGCCTTGGAAAGCATCTACAGTATTAATATATACATCCTTCCCTTCCTCTGATTTTATAACACTCTCAAACTCCCGTTGTAGGCATTTTAGTTGCAGCTTGTATGGTGTGATTATACCCACTGTGATTTTTTGCACACCCAAAGATTTTAAAGTTTTCTGTAGATGCTCATACAAGCGTAAACAAAACAATGCTTCATGCACATTCTGATACGAAACAGATCCACCTCTATGAGACTCTCGGCCATGGGTAATATCATAGAATAAATAAGGTTTAAGTAAAGGGTCCTTGTAGTAAGCCTCATCAGGTAAGTTGGCAACACTTTCACTATCAGTAAGACGTCCTTGGTAAAAGTATCTAGAAGGAAAATCCCTAATTTGGGGATGCATCCTATATTGCACAGATAACAACATAGTTGGGCATCCTGCTTGCTGGAACCTTTCAAAAAGGCTTCTACTGTATAAGAGGGTCCCAGCAGCCTTGCTAATCACTGTTGCAGGAAGCTGCTGGGGATCCCCAACAAGTACACATCTTGCTGCACCAAGAGAAAGAGGAGGAAGTACTGCAACTTCACTGGCTTGAGCAGCCTCATCAATGACAACCATATCAAAACCATGGGTAAGGCGAGAGAACAACTTACGACCGCTACTCGAGACAGTAGTGAAAACAATCTCAGCCTCATTGGCAAAACTAGCCTCAAGGTTAGCTCGGGCTTCTTCTAAGTTGAAGTTACTACCAGCACGAAACCTGGCTTCTAAAATGAGAAGGCGAGACATCTCAACTAGAACCTTATCTCTGTTTTCAACAACTGCAGCTAGGTTCTGTAACAATGCATCTCGGTTTTGGTCCCGAGCAACAAGAATATCAGGGTCAACACCAACAGATCCTTGGGACCGAACAGCAGCAGCTGCAGCAGTGAGTTCCCTTTGAAGAGTAGCTATCTGCTGAGATAACATAGCTTCACGAGCCCTTAAAGTGTGCATATGTCCTAAAATTTCTTCACGACTCTTGAGTAGAAGTTGTTCAGTTCTCCGCTCGACGGAAACCGCCTGCGCAGCCCGTGTTTGAGAGTCTACACCAACTCGGGCCACATCGGGACGGTAGATTTTCATCTCACCATCAATAAATCCTCGATCAAGAACACGTGCAAGAAGCTCATCAGTTGCAGCATTAGAAGGAGCACAAACTAACATTCTGGGTTTTGGGCAGAGTTTTGGAAGGGTGCGGAAGAGATTCTGGTCCATGTTCTGAAGGACTTCATCAATCGATCCCATTGCAACAGTGTCAGGACTGCTCTCATTAGCTTGCTTATAGCTCTCAGGTGCTAATTTCTTAAGCAAAGAGGTATAATAGTGTTGATATTGAACGAGATGGATGACATTTAGCATCCCCCAAACTGTATGCGTCTTACCTGTTCCAGGAGGCCCTTGAACAAGCGTAAAAGGCCATGGCTCTTGCCTTTTCGTCACCCCACTACTTGTTCCAGCAGCTGTATGCGTAGCTGCCCACTGGATTGCTGCAAGCTGAGGCCTATTAAAGGTCCTATGCAAATAATCAACAAAATTTGGTGTGAAGCATTCAGGCATAGTGGGACTTTGCTGCTCATATTTAGGAAAGTGATCAGGACTCGGTTTAAGGATCGCAGTTTGCATCTGTGCACAAGAGAAACCTTGTTAACCCTAAAGATGCATCAAGCAACAAGAACTACACCTAGCCTCAGAAATCATTAAAAATAATAATAAATAAGTACCTGGGAATTAAGACGACAAAATGCATGCAATGCCACATACTCACGCTGGGTAGTTGCAAGAGATCCTAGAACAGTTAGATACCAGATAGCCCTTGGTTGAAGTTTCCGTAGAATGTGATCATCATCAACCTTGCTGTAAAAATTAATATGTTATTTTGACATTAAAAACAAAAAGGGAAAAAAAAAACTAACTAAATTTGGTTAAGCTTTTGCAATAATCAATACTAGCACAAATGCCTAAGGACACAAGTGTATTTCAAAACCACACAATATCAATAAGGAAGTGATATTTCTCTAATTACCTGTTTGAATCATAGGAATCCCCAACATAAAAGTGAAGGATTGCACCAAGAGGATCGCGAGTATCAATTGGTATGTGCCGCCTTACAGTACCAACCACACGTCCAGTAACCTCAGCCTCCTCATCTTCTTCAGTTAAAGAGGTATTGTTCCACTTAGTTCTAACTGCTTGATACAAAGTAAACAATCCTTAGATATAATATATATATATGAGTTTGTAATTATACCAAAATAAATCAGAAAAGAATTCTTATTCTGATATCATACCTGAACCAGGCCTTGGGGCTGATAGAACAGCAACATCACCCTCCTTAAATACCCACTTGCACTCATTAGCAGGAAGAACTATCACATCATACCACCCTAAACCAAAAATGAAAATTTTCTGCCAATTAATAAAACTAGTAGAAACATTTATCTTGATCCCAAAAGTTAAAAGTCAAAACTTTATCAAAAAAGTTATCAGAATCAAAAGTCAAAACTAATAATTGTCAAACTTACTACACCCCACCACCTCTAGTAACTACTTTATCAACTAAGATAAAGACTACAAAGATGTAGACTAAGAGTAACTAGGCACTTTTACCTCTTTCTCGTCTTTCAATGTTTTTTATACGGACCATTATATGTGTATCTCTAGAAGCTGATTCGGCTAACTCTTCCCATGTGCTGTACAGTTGTGCACGGCATTCCTCAAAAAGCAAAGG